AAAAGAACCGCTGACGTTTCAGGACGAGATGGAGAAGACATTAGCATCGATGCGTGTTGGAAACGAAAGCATGCAGATAAAAAGCCTTGCAGAGTCCAACAATAAACTCTTACTGAAACGGAAGCAACGAACAACGGAGGAGATCATACCAGAAGCAAGCTAAGTGAAGGGTCACGGCCAGTTCGACCTTCATCCCTTCTGAAGATGCTTGTTATACACCTCAATGATTATGATTTTGTTCATGAGGTTCAGTAGAGTACGAGTAGTGTCAACCAAAGCTTCGACAATTGTGTATGCGCGTGTTTTCATGAGAGTACTGACGGATACGATCCAAGTGTTCTATTCAGTAGCCTGACATCATCGTCATCGGGGTATGTTTCACTTAACTTGTGTCCTATGGGCGCACATCGGTACAGTTCACGGCAAGTGAAAAAGTTTCTATAATTTGTTTGGCTTGATTATACGATATAAACATCTAGCATTCTACTACTGCATTCTTTCTTGACCCCTTAACTTTCATCGAACTTAAAGGCACGCTCCGCGTTTGTATGATGTTCAAATGTCTTCCTTGAAGCGGTGGTCCTGCCTGCATGCATGGAGAACGCACTTCTTCCGTCGCATAAAAGTACTTAAGGAAAGTTCGACCCACTGCTCCGCCCACTGATCAACGCCCAACTTCGATTTCCAGAGGCTTTCTGGTGGTGCGGTTATTCCCGTACTAAGGCCCTTCCATTTTGAATGATGGGAAGGAGGTGACAAAGAGAAACTGTCACCAACAGGTGACAACTCGTCCGGCCACGCCTATTTTTCATCTTGTACAAATACAAGTATGGTTCAGCATGGGCTTCTACGTGGGGTATTGCGGGCGGATTTTAGCCATTTTTCTACACTACGGTGTTAATTACCACCCTGCCATTGGTATCTGAACCTTCAACTCACCATTTTTTCAACGCGGGGGGGGTCTTTACTCTTATTCGTTACCAGTTTGTCTATACAGTATTATCGGACGTGTAGTATGTTCACTAGAATAATCTTCCTCTAAAGATAAGTTGTCTTTGAATTGATTGTATCGAATCCTCCATAGTAGTTGGGCTCAATAATTAATGCAATTTGTACAGTTTACCTATTGTTCAGGGCTAAGGGGAACAGCATGAAACGCTCGCAGTTGTAGTTTGCCATCTTACGCGGATGGGTGCGGCTCGGGAGATAAGGGTGACGGTATAGCGGCCTACCGGCACTACTGGCTAGTTGATTCGGCGCAGCATGTGGCGTCAGAATAGCTAACTCGTGACAGTCTAGAGCTATACCGTTTATTTCATTCTCAAGTATCGGTCTCACAGCGATCCTGAAAACTCGGAATGGAAGGAAGCTACACATCGATCTCATGAAGTAAACGGTATAGGACGTGGAATGTTATGATCTAATTGATTGGACGCCAAATGGTGTGTCGAGTCAACAGCCAGTAGTGCTAGTTGCCACGATGCCGCAACTCGGATCTCCTGACCAACGCTCATCACGCGTCAGCTGCGTCGCGGCTGCGTGCGTCCAGTGCTGGTCGCCCTAGAACGTTGCCTTGAAGGGAATGGAATAGATAACTCATAGATATGTGCGTTTATATGTTGTGACTAGTACCGTGTGGCCTCTGCAACTCATTTCATTATATGAGTTACGTTATAATTTGATAGTCGATATTTTTATTGAACGTTGTGACAGTATCTGTCGGATTTTCAAATAAAGTAATAGCTTTTTTCCTCTCTGTGGCTGAAGACTCAGTGAAAATGTGCGCGCCGTAGTTTGTTATCGTAACTATCAGAGTATCAACGACTGGGTGTGCCGAGAATGGCCAGGTTTGTGGTGACCGTTGGCGGGACGAAAACGGTTATCGTTCTCGAAAGAGTTGTACAAGCGATATGACGAGTTCGGATCCGCTGGAAATTTCCAGAAGAACTGGAATTTTTTGTTTTTCAGAAGCTTTTGGTACGATGGATGATCGACCACTGGCTGCATGGTGTAAAGGAGTGAGCTGCCGGTTTGAGGTTCTCATGGCGCGCAAGATTTAGCAAAGTATTTCTTTGTTAGTTGATTCAGTACAAGCGAGCACACATTGATTCATTTAGGTCCTGGAGCGCACGCACGTGACCTGCAGCGTTGCGTTGCCACTTGGTGGATCTCGTGACTGGTACTCAATGTTACGGGGTACCACGTTGTGGTTTACTGTTGTTTGGCGCTCGTAATAAGTTTCCAGGTTTTATGTGCGATCCCTGCTGAATTCACAATGAGCAACTAGTAAGTCCTTTTTTGCTCCGGCGTATTACGAATCACGTTTTTTCATTTATCATTCATTTCCCTTCGCTTTTAGCCATGCCAATGACTCCAAAATGAAGCATGACGCACTTCTATAGCTTTCAAGATTGTAAACTATTCTAGTAGTCCCTTTGATTTGAGCCAACTTGTCCAACTAGTGTTTCTAAAAGTGTCAAGCTCCACTCTTACTGCGCGTTTGCTGACTAAGTTTAGGCTATAGAATCTTCTGCGGGAGTGACTTCAATAGGATTTGATCGGATTTTACGAATAAACGAGTTGGGATTTGTTGTTGGCGAAGAGCCAGCTAGCGTAATAATTCAATACCGCTGGGAGTAGTTGATTGAGGCTCATATATAAATGGATAGCTCACAAGATATTTGTAGCTACCAGATTAACTGTAAGGAGAATGGCTTCAATAGAATGAGGAAGAACACGGGAAGGATGTATGCATCTTCTGTGTCTGCTGCACGTTGACGACGAGCCATTTTTCCCATGAGTTGCGCCCCGCCCCCCCCGGCCCGACCCCCGCCGCCACCTCTCTCCTCACATTGAATACTGTAGAAATTTCAAATAAGATGGAATTATATGATCGACATGTTGCGAGAAATGCAAGAAGCGACGTGCTACCCAATCTCCGATTCTTTGACAACAATTTAGGCCTTGCTCATCTGCCTCAATCTTCCAAACAAGCCATTTTTTAGCCGACTTCTTTTGCTGCGAGGGGTCAGTAATTGACATGAAAATTTGTCTCCCGGGGTATTTTGATCTCCTAAAGAGCAATATAGCATCCCCTTGGCCCGAATGTTTCTTCTTGAACTAATTTTATGAAAAGAAAGTGAAACAACCGCGCAGATTTTGATGTATATAATAACTGTCGGACAGCATTGGGTGACGCAGAACCACTCGCAAGACAAACTTGCTGTCATCCACCGTTGACGAAAGTTGTCGTCAGCACGTTAAGAAAATATGATATTCTTATTCAGGGGGTCGAACTAGCCTAGGAGACAGGTTTCCAGCGAATTCGATGACCTATGACATTTCGGCGCCGGCGCCTGTGGCGCGGGCGCCACACAGTTTCATGGCAAGTAATTGTGATATTCGTGTTCATGAGGTCACCTGCCCCAGGAAACAAGTTTCTAGCGAATTTGGGATTTTGGTATTTTTGGCGCTGGCGCCTGTGGCGCGAGCGCCAGGCAATTCGTGCCAAGCTATTGTGGTGTTCGTTTCACAAAAGGACAAGCTACTTCTAGGGATAAGTTTCCAGCGAACTTGGCTGTTCGTACATCTTTATTATTAAAACAATATAGTGGCAGACACCCTGTTGTCTGCCATCGTCCCAACGAGGCGAGACTCGGCTGTCCAGCCCTATGTCTGCCGATGCGTCGTCACGGTGGCTACAAGCAGAAAGAAACGAAGGCAGTTTCTGTAATATATGTATTTGGTGCAATGGTTGCGTACTATCACCTGTAGCCGATAAAGTGATCCCTACCAGTAGAGAAAAAAACAAGGTTTTTTTGAAGAACACCCATGAAAAAACGCACCTCCTACACTTACGTATGTATCTCATTGTTCGAGTCCTGCCAGGACTTGTTGGCAAATTGACTACCTGAGCCTTGCGCAATCCCCTGCACCACAAATCCATTCCTTCCGTATCTTCCGCCGAAAGCTAAAATGCTAACAAAATTCAAGTACTAAAAAAAACGAGAGGACAATAACTGGAATAAACTCAATAGGCCGAGCAGCTTTTTGACAACACTTATACGTATTTGCGAATACGGTAAAAATCAACAAAGCAATTTTGCACCACTGCAATCGCATCAGTGGTAAATTTGAACGCCGTTAAAATGGATCTTGTCCTGGGGAGGGGACTGCTATTGCTTGCTCATTTTCAGGAATGGTATCCAGGGAGAACAGAATGACCAGTGTCTTTGCGAAAACGACACGCTACCGTCATCTGTGACCAGCATGGCATAATCTCACGACGCTGCAGACAACATAGGGCGGTAACTAGCGGTGTAAACAGTCGTCTTGTAGCCTGAAAACGGTAAAATAGTGAAATTTCGTTTCTGACTCGTACGTTCGTGTGACGAAAAAACACTTTCTGCGAGTTATAACCTGACCTTCATATGCACGGGGTATTTTACGGGACTATTGATCGCGGTTACGTGACATCTTGAACTTTTGTGCATGGTTCTCTTGCGAAACCAAGAAACGCAGGCAGATAGAGGACAGCGCCTGCCAAAGCATCGAGACGTTCGAGAAACTATGGTGAACCAGGAAACGGGCTTTTTCAAAGAGAGGGGACTGCGGGGTGGGTGAGCCGCTTACCGCGAAAAGTTGAAAAGTTGCAGTGTGCGAAGTCGCAATGATCATAGAGTGCCGCCCGGATGAGAGAGAGCAGAGAAAAACACATATTCGACGCGTTCAAAGGAACTGAGTTCGGGTTAATCTAGACCCTTCTTGCGGGAACTTGCTTTAAGTACTAGAGACCACGTAATTGTTAACAGCGAAACGCTTTATTCAATCTTTATGGTCATGACATACACACATACGAGCAGATTTATATGGTATGGTTTATAATAGGCCTACAACTCAACACCGCGATCAAAATCACCGCTCAAAAAGATCGACAACCGGAGATGGCAACATCAAAGAAAGGGGTTTGCTGTGAGATGTTCTGGATGATCGTCATCGTTCTACTTCCTCTTGATGAGACATTGGATCGGTGAGTAGTAGCATGGTTTGAATCGCTTCATCGGTGCCGAATCCTTTTTCTCCTTCTGAACGGCATAAAGAGGAAGTGCGGTATGATTATAAAGTCGAAACAGAAAAAAAAACAATACAGCACCTGCAGGTCAGGCGTGGAATTGTCGACAAGGCTAGGTTCTCTTCCACTGCGGAGCGGTCCAAATGCTAAGCGGTTCTCGTTTTGTGAGTCAAGGAATCTGAAATTATGTTGAGTTTATGTATTCCTAATGCAGAATGAAGCTTTCGGTATCGATCTTTCGGGAATGCGCCTTGCGTTTGACATCCAGAGGCACATTGAATGCGAGGTGACAGTGAATTGCGGAACCAGCCTATATACGAGTCAATGTTCCTCTCCTTCCAGACGGGCCTAAAGCTAATTAGTCGACAGCGTAAGGGTGGAAGGTTTGCCTATCACGTGTGAGAGTCGATCCGGAATAAGATCCCCGCGCTGAGAGCGTCAAAGCTCGCCACTATACATCATCCCCTGCCAATAGCACTATATAAGTTGTGTATTC